GTAGCCTAGTGGCCGCCTCAATAGGTCACCAGGACTCCAAAAGGCAAAGAAAATAAATATTGTTTATTGCAAACGTCGTCACATGGGTCATAATAGCCAACATTTTGGGGCCACGCAGGGTCCCGTCCTCAAGACTGGTTCCTCCCTTGCTACTTTGGTTAGAATGTTAGACTTTAAGGGCCCGTTCACACCAGATGCAGTGCGTTCCGGACCGCACTGCCTCCTCGCATTGCGGCCGGCTCACTTTTTTGTGGGGCAGGAGGGGGAGTGGCGGGCCATTGAAGTGAATGGCACCGTAGCCACGCCCTCCGGCCGCAATGTGATAGGCCGCACGGGTTTGCAAGGCACCGCAGGCATAATGTGCCTTGCGATCCCGTGCGGGCCGATCGGGTGGCTACGGTGCCATTCACTTCATGGCGCGCCACTCCCCCTCCTGCCCCACAAAAAAGTGAGCCGGCACCAATGCGAGGCAGTGCGTTCCGGCCAGAATCGGGCCGGAACATACTGCATCTGGTGTGAACGAGGTCTCATACCTTGATTAAGACCTTGTGTGGGGATTTCCATGTGCCTTTTCCCTGTGTATCCCTTGTAACCCCGTGGGGGCAAAATTTGGTCCTCTCTGCACTTTCGGGTGGCCTCAAGAAAACCAGCAGCAGACTTGTCCTTTACCCCTGAAGTGCATGACACTGGACACAATCATAGCTGGAGAGGTTTCTTCCATCCCCAGGAGGGACGGATTTGCATGCTAGGACGACTTTGCAAAGATCTTCAGCTGTTTCGTCATTTACATATAAACGCATTTAATATACGCACATGTCCCCAAAATTCCTTTACAAATACTGCAAGGACAGGAAAATACAAAAAAAATCTGTTGACCTTTATTGCAAAAGTGTATGGGATCTATTAGTTTGGCCCGGACATATACACCTATAAACCCGTCATGAGATCTCCGCGAACGAAGCAGAGGACAAAGACGACCAACCCCAGATAGCACTCACCTCATGCTCTCTCTGCTGCAGGTACTCGAGCTCCTTCTGAGACCTCTTGATCTTTTCATGAAGTGCAATGTTTTGCTGTCAGGAGAAAACCAGAGTGCAGTCAGTGAATGGCAGCTCGAGGTGCTCCGCGGCAAGAGGACAGACATGACACAGGACAGCCATGATGCACTGTTATGTACATACAACTATGAAGGATTACCTTGTGAAGGTCTGACAAGTTCTTGTGCCTGGTCAGGGATTCTTTACTGGGGAATTGCCTGCGACACAACAAGCACACCATCTTCTTCCAGTCAATCAGCTTGTCGTAATCGGTGCCGCTGGGCGCAGCGGGGGCGAGCTTGGGCTCTGGTTTGGGCGCGGGTTTAAGTATTGGTTTAGGGGTTGGTTTAAGTATTGATTTAACTGCTGGTTTGGGCACTGGTTTCGGAGTCGGTGCCGGAGGCGGGGGAGCGGGCTTTTTCTGTAACGGGGGCAACATCTCTTCATCTTGCTGCTCCTCCTCTTCCTCACTGTCCTCTGCATATGCCCCAATATACCCCAGCAGAGGGTTGACCTTTGGCTGTGGAGATAACAGATGCAAAAAATTTAGGAAGGAGACAAATGAGGATAAAATCAAACAACTCATTTACAATGTTAAAACAAGGCTGCAGGTTAGAGGACATTTGCACCTGTGTGTGCTAACCAATCAGGATCAGTGCAAGATGGCCAACATCAGGAGGCGGCAGGGGTTCCCCCGGCAGCTGGTGGAGCTAGGACAGCATAGGATGGTGGGGCTAAAAAATGCATTATAAGTTGGTGGGGTTAGAAGATCAGAATGGTGAGGGTGGGTCTAGGTCCTTGGTTCTCAACTGGTGGGTCGCGGCCCTGTGTTCAGTGGGTCGCCGCATTGCCTTCCACTTTTCTAGGCGAGAGTCTCCTCTGCCTCCCCTTAGCACAGCACTGTCAGTTCGCACGCCAAGCAGCCATTCAAACTATGCTGCCTGGCGCAGAGTGTCAGCTTGAGGTGGGATTGGATGGGTCTATGGCCGCGAGGGAGCTCCCTCCATACGTGTATTGCTTTCAGCTCCCTTGCGTGCCCTGTAGAGGTGCCTAGACCGGAGTGACATCACATTCTGGCTCCCGGCACCTCTACAGGGCACGCAAGGGAGCTGTACAAGCAATGCACATATGGATGGAGCTCCGTCACAGCCCACGCTGGACCCCAGGTTGTGTATGTGTGTGGGAGAATGTCTGAGATCGTGTTTGTGGTTGTTTATGCATGGCAGTGTTTTTGAGGGCCCGTTCACACCAGTGCAGTGCATTAATCTCATAGTACTGTGCGATTAACGCACTGTAGCAAGCAATTGCACCTACTGTAAATTCTGGTGTGGGAGGTGTGTTGCGTTGCCATTCATTTGAACCCTAAATGCACCTCCCACCCACATTTCGTACGTCTGCACCGGTACCCTAATGCCGTGTGTTCCATCGCATGTGGGTCCTCAGGTTGAGAACCACTGGTCTAGGGGAATGATGGATGGGTATGGTCTGCAAAGTGTAAGAAGTAGGTGGAACTAGAATGCATGGTAATAATCACAGCACCTCCCACAAGCACACACACAGGACAAAATTACCTCAGCAGGCTCCTCTTTTTTCGGTATCAGGGGTGGTAATGGCTTCTTAAATGCATCCTCATCCGTCTCCTAAAAAACAAACCCGAGTTATACTTCCAGTAAAGCAGATGAAAAAGCCAGCAGACTGTCTGTGTGAAACCCGCATCTAACAATAGGAGTGAAGCATCAACATATGGCGGGCAAAGCTGCAAAGAATAACTTACATTATTTGAATGGCTCCCCCATGTGACATGTGAGCAGTGATTGGATGGGAGTCACAGGCAGCTGCTTATCGGCTTTTGTACTTCACCCGTGTCTTTTCTGTGCATGCCGAGGAAGGAGCCTAAAGCTTAATATTTGCGTTTTCTCTGAGTGACAGACCCCATGTGTATAACCCATACACGTCCCCTTCACCCCTCAGACACAGAGTACACAACCCCTGCTCACCTGTTCCTCAGTGAATCCTCTCCTGGTGCGGCTTGGTGCCTCCTTGGTCTCTCTCTCGGAATCACGATGAGGATAATCATCTCTCTTCTGCTGCTAAGAGATGAGACACTGTGACTGAATAGATGGGCCACGTGCACACCCCCCCATACAAGACACCCCTCAGTGTGATACCAGAAGGTTGGGGTGTGCCCGAGAATCCATAGACCACACAATCTTCACCGCTTCCTGCTAAGTGTGGACCTCACATCCCCAATTTACGAGGGGCTCTCTTGGGGTCTACTCTCGCTGAATGCAATGTAAGGCCTCAGACAAGTAGATGACACTTTCCACTGCGCTCAGCAGGATTGTCAAGTGTCAATATGCACTCTGGGAGCGTGATAAACAGAGAGTGGTGGAGCTTTAAGCTGTGCTGAGCGCAGGCATGGAAAGACGGAGGCACCCACGTACATCTACTAAAGTTAATTGGGACTAGTTAATGAAACCACAGGGTTAAACACAGGCTACATATAAAAAGAAAAAAAAGAAAAAAATGTTTCCATTTCCAGTCTTGCTGCAGCAAAATAACAATACAATGGGGGGGGGGGATTTATCAAAACTGAAGAAAGGAGCCGATTGGTTGCCATGAGTGACTGCTCCAGTTTTGATAAATTCCCCTTGTTTCTCCCCCCCCCCTGCTGGCATTACAAAATAAAACAGAGCTAAAATATTTGGTATGACTGTCTCTGGGGTGACCGGCAGCTAACACAGTATAGAAAGGATAGAGATCATACCTCATTTTTAAGCTCATTGTAATAGGAGTTTGTTAGCGGATCCACATAACAGCCAGTTTTTGGGTCAAATATATAACTTGGACCTTCTTCAGCTGTAAAAGAAGAGATTCATGTCAGTGGAGCAGTTTGAGCAAAATGGAGAAATGTGGCCACCAGGGAGAGATGGGAGGGGGTAGGGTAACGTCCAATCAGCATCAGGAATCAACTGGTGGGTCACCGCGTGCCTTTTTTTTCCTTCAAATTCTTCATTAACTGAATCAGTGTCATAAAATACAGTAACATTGTAAAAGGTAAGTTTACATAGCCTACAAGTTCCACAATAAAACGGACTGTACCGTATTTGACATATAGAACCAGTCTTATAGAGTCAGCTCAATACAAAGTGACATTAAACCCTGAGATTTTTTAACATAAAACAATACTGTAATGTGCGCCTTACTGTAATCCATGGTTGTTTCCCTTCTCTTTGCTGCTCTTCCTTTTAAATCCTCATGTCGTCTCATGCTGGGGGAGAACTTCCCTTTGCAGTAGACTGCCTTGTCTCTGGAATGGATACATGGTGTCTCTGTGCAGGTTCACAACCTGAGCCAGCACTACAGGAAGAGGCAGTCAGCTGCAAAGGGAAGTTCTCCCCCAGCATGAGAAGAGAGGATGATTTAAAAGGAAGAGCAGCAAAGAGAAGGGAAACTACCATGGATTACAGTAAGGTGCACATTACAGTATTGGTTTATGTTAAAACATCTGAGGGTTTAATGTCACTTTAAGCATTCTCGGTAAAGTATTTTTGCTTCCTGCCATAATCTGCAAAGTTCCAGAACTCTTTATAAGGAAGCCCTGTAGCTAAATATGAACCTTGAAAGCATCTGTGTCTCATGGTCAAAGGGAAAAGGCAGTAGAAAGGAAGATCCAGAGAAAGGAAAGAGGGAGTGGGTCCGGGCAGTGCCCGACGTACCCTTCAGGGGTCCTACCCTGTTTCCCCGAAAATAAGACCTACCCTGAAAATAAGACCTAGTTGTGACCCATTCCCAGGGCCGGTGGTGGCATAAGGGGGGAACTTGAAGAGCTGCAGGAGAGGCGGGAGAGAATCAGCGGTGCCAACAAAGCCGGCGCTAGAGGAAGCGAGGCGGCACCGTAGGGAGCAGAGCCGCATAAGCCGACGCCTCCTCTACAGCGCCGCCTCCTGTCACAGGCGGAGTGATGCCAAATGCACTCCGCCTGAGAGGAATCCATAGTGAATAGTGCACTTCGCTCATTCTGGCCAGTGATTGGTTACTAAATTGCTCTTGGAAAGGTACGTGATTGCCCTGATCACCCTATTCTTAACTTTGCCATTTTGGATTATTTAATTTGGATTTGCGTTAACTTTGGATTGTTTTTACATTAAAAAAAAAAATAAGACCTACCCCGAAAATAAAACCTAGTGTGCTTTTTTGAGCCAAAAAAAAAAATATAAGACAGTGTCTTATTTTCGGGGAAACGCGGTAGTTTCCGTCCTGAGAGAATTGTGAAGAGGTTCTGTAGCACAACCATGGCCCCCCAGGTGGCATTGAATTGAGCTGTGTTTTTCAGTGAGGCTGTGAGGTCCTCCAGCAAGTAGATGTCCTGAACTTTCACTGTGTGCCTTTGACTGCGCTAGTTGAGGGGCTCCTCCTCGTGCAGCACTGAGTGTCAGCTCGTCCATCCATGCGTACATTGCTTACAGCTTCCTTGCGTGCCCTGTACAGGTGCCCGGACCGGAGTGAGGTCACAATCTGGCTCCCGGCACCTCTACGGGCACACAAGTGAGCTGTATAAGCAATGCACATATGGATGGAGCTCCGTCACAGCACAGCAACCCACACTAGACTCTAAAGAGTCACTCCAGTTCTCGTAAGGTAGGGAGACTGGGTGGATCTTAAAGAGTGTGTGAGATTGTCTCTGTAGTTGTGTGTCACGGTTTTTGAGGGCCCCTTCACACTAGTACAGTGCGTTAATCCCACCACCACGTGCAAATAACGTACTGTACCACATAATCGCACCTACCACGCATTCTGGTGCGGGAGGTGGGTTGCACTGCCATTCACTTGAATGGCACCCCAAAACGTACCACACGCCCAGTTCGATCCCCCATACGGGAATGCGCGGTAATGCAAAATTGTGCAGTGCGACTCGGGTCGTGACTTAATGACCGAGGACAAATGTGGGTCCTGAGGTTACACAGGTTAAGAACCACTGATAGACAATAGAAAGAGTTCAATGTTTCTGTCTTCCAGTTTCCATCTCCTTCCGAGGCGGACAAATTAACATGGAATTCATAGGCTGCCTTACACTGTTCTATTGCTCTCATTCAACCAGCGGGCTGAACGAAAAAAATAGCGCAGAAATCTCCAACACTACGAGTGTGTCGATTAATGAATCCCGCTGTTTGCAGTGCTGTTGGCCACTGTCAGAGTACCAGAACAGAGCCCGCAACTCATTGGCTGCCGGTTCTGGTCGTACAAAGATCCGACTGGCTCCTTCAGTTGATCTAGGGATGCCGACCAAAAGGGTGACGACAGCGGCACCCAGCGTGCAAATTTTCGGCCAGTTCCTCAAGAAGCGGCTGAAATTTGCAAAGTGTATGGCCACCATTAGTCTGTCCAATCAAAGATTTTTGAGGAGCTCCATTGACAACAGCTAATGAAAACCTCAATAAATGATTTATACTTTTACAAAAAAAACACTAAACACATGTACAGACTTTATATTCATGGCCATTCACCCCACCACCAAGAGGCCGAGCACACTGAACACAGAAAACAACAGAAGCTGAATGCTGCACACAGCTTTCCTCAGTGGACAGAATAATGGAAACCTTACCTCTGAACCCCGGGTAGGTGAACGGTTTCCTCTGCCCTCTCTGTTTCCGGTTCTACATAGAGGAGTACAGAGGTTACACAACTATTCACAAATTCTAAATGTAATACTATCTAAGCCATAGACCGAGTTTACATAAATTCTCCTCACCTTGCCAGGAGATGACTTATTGCCTTTCAAACCTTTGCCATCTTTCCTACGAGAAAAACAGAACAATCTTGTCAGTTTAATGTTTGACACAATGGCCCAGGTGTAGGAAGGTCTAGGGCCTTGCTTCATATAGAGCACACTTTCAAAACATTATTCAGAGGGGGAGATAGAGAGATACAACGTAACATTGTTTATAAACATTGATCAGAGGGAGATAGAGAGATACAAAGTAACATTGTTTATAAACATTGATCAGAGGGAGATAGAGAGATACAACGTAACATTGTTTATAAACATTGATCAGAGGGAGATAGAGAGATACAGAGTAACATTGTTTATAAACATTGATCAGAGGGGGAGATAGAGAGATACAACGTAACATTGTTTATAAACATTGATCAGAGGGAGATAGAGAGATACAAAGTAACATTGATCAGAGGGGAGATAGACTGTAGACAAAAAGACAACTGCAACCTACTCTGCCTTTGGGGAGAACACAGACCATTCCCTTTCAGGCATATTCACTGCAGAAATCACAGTTTCAGTGATTTGTAAACAATTTGCATAATGTAATGTGATTCACTGGATCTTTAAAGCTGATCTCCCAGCAAATATAAAAAGGCACAAAAAATGCAGCTCTGTTTATTATTGTCCACTTTATTTAAACACATACAATGCAAGTATCTAAAAGGTGACCCGGTATCAGCCTCTTGAAATCCTTGTACAGAAGAGCTCAGACTGGGGGAGGGAGAGGCAGCTCAACAAGCCAATCAGGTGTGCCGCAGTTCCGGTGAGAAAGCAGATAGGATTTTGCAGCAGGGTGACAGAGAGACGAGCCCACCAATGCTCCTTCTTTACTGTCCAATCTCAGGCTGGGGGGAGGACAAGACCTCTAAGTATTACTTAACTGCACAGGAAAAAAAAAAAATGAGGTCTCCTGCCCAGCCAGATAGTACGGTGCTGTGTAAAGGTCAGGAATGGATGGACAGAGATACAACTCTCGTGGCAGGTAAAGCATCCCCTTTATATGCATTCAAATAGTGGATTTAAGCATCTGACTGCAGTTCAGCTTTGATGCTTTCTTAATTATTTTGAATAATATATAATAGACGACTCATTAAAACATGCACAAATTCAGCAGCTTGAAGGGTCATTCAGCAAACAAAAACATACTTCCTCTGCCCAATTGCAAGATCCACAGAGATCGCTTTCCCATCAACGGTAACAGGAGATTTCAGGTCCCGCACCATCACTGTCAGACGTATCGCCTCCTAGTGGTGAAGAAGGAAAAGGCAATAAAGGATGATTTTCATTTTCAATATATTTTCATTGAATTTCTGCAAGTAATCTAAGTTAGAGATTTCCATATCTGTTCAGCCAACAACCGAGTGTCACAATATACGCAACACAACACCATAGGGTCCATTTATAAATAGTTTGCATAGCTTATTCATCCAGAAAAACTGCAGATACATTCGTTTTGTGTGAGGTGACCAGCTGTTGGGAGAATGGGGG